ACAGACAAGTCCGAGTGCCAAAGCGCCCGTCCCAGGGTGAGAATTCGCTCAACTCTTGCGCAGGCGCGCGCGGAGAGAAACCAGGGCGCATCAAATGAACGCCACGCGGGGGGGGGGGGGGGGGCTCTTTTACGAACTGTCGCAGACAGCTCGCCCGATGCCCCGCGGACCCCCATCAACCCTCACCGCGCGAGGGTCGCGCGCAGCGCGAATGCGTCTCTCCTCGCCCCCCAGCCGCCGTGCGCAGCTTGCCCATGTGCCCTGCGTTTGGCGGCGCCGACGCTCTCGCCAACCGCTTATCGCCGCTGCCGCCTCAGGGGGGACATCTATCCTGCGTAGGTATCTCGAACGGTCTCGGGCTATATTGGGCCCTCCTGGAAGCCATCTTATACCATCTGTGACCATCTTGAACTCTCCGAAGGCCCGGATAGCGGCGAACTGGATGCCAGCTCGCCCACCAAAATGGATTGCGCCGCGGGCCCCGCTTGCCGATTTTGTTGAAGATGGCCTGGGGAAGCGGCGAACTGGATTCCAGTTCGCCTCTTCCCCCTGGCCCTACGCGGCTTGCCTAGGGCGGTTTCGGGGCCTCTTGGAAACGCCCTGGAAACTAGATTGGGCGATCTCGGGCCCTCGTGGAATCCGCGCTGGGATCCCCCCACGCGCCCGAGGAAAAAAAAAGGCGATGCGGATTCCAATATCCCCCCAGATGGACTACGCCATCCCTTCTGAAAAGCTTCGCGGGCCCCGCTTGTCGCCTTCGTGGACCTGTCGGGCGGCCGCGGGGTCCGGGAAAACGGCGCCTTGGTTCCCATCTCGCCCCGATTCCGCTGCCTCTTGGAGCCGTCTTGGGGCGGTCTCGGCGCCTCCTGGGGGCGTCTCGGAAGCGATCTCGAGCGATGGCGCGCTATCTTGGGCCGCCCTGGACGCCGCCTTGGACGCCCGAGGGAATATTGGACTCTCTCTGCGCCGAAACGTCGCGGACTGGATTCCAGTTCGCCATCCAACGCGGCGCGCGCGCGCGCGCGACATTCCTTTCGAAGGCCCCACAAGCACCACATGTCACCACTTGTCGGCGTTGACGACATGTTCGGCGGCCGCGGGCCCCATGGAAGCGCAGAAACAAGATTCCACTTCGCCCCTTTGCCGTGGCCTCTTGGACCCGTGTCGGGGCGGTCTTTGGTCCTCTCGGATGCTCGAGCGACCTCGGGCTATCTGGGGCCCTCCTCAAGGTCATCTCGGACGCTCTGAGGCCGCCGTCAACTCTCTGAAGGCCCGACAAGCGGCGAACTGGATTCCAATTCGCCCTGACGCCGTCCCTTTCGAGAGCCTCGCGGGCCCCGCTCGTTGACTCCGTGAATATGCTCGGCGTCCGCGGGGCCTGGGGCAGCGGCGAACTAGACTTCAGGTCGCGCAGTTTCCGTTGCCTCCCGGGGCCGTCTTGGGGCGGCCGTCGGGCCATTTGGAAACGTATTAGAAGCGATCTCGAGCGATGCCGCAGCTTGCGAAATAAACGCCCACTTGTAAAGGGTAGAACGCCCCGCCCCCGCGCCCCGCATCTCAATGCAGGCCAACGAATGCGCCAAAAGGGCGCGCGACGTGTTGCGAAATAGACGCTCATTTCTGCGCGGGGGTGCGGTTTCCTCGTCAACCTTCAATACGGGGGGAAGGGGGGCAAGCTTTGTCGTCTTGTCACCGATGCCTGAGACGGGCGTTTATTTCGCACGTGCTCTCTTGGGGCTTCTTGGAAGCCATCTTGGACGCTCCGAGGCAATCGTGCACTCTCGGATGGTCTGAAACTGGCGAGCTGGATCCCAGCTCGCCCTCGCACATGGATTACGTCATTCCTTTGAAGGACTCGTGGGCCCCGCTTGTCGCCTCTCAAGACAATTGCTATGCGGCCGCGGAGCCTACGAACGCGGCGAATGGGATTCCAGTTCGCCGCCCCTTGTCCGGTGGAAGCATATTGGAAGCTATCCTCAACGACCTGGGGAAATCGTGGGGCCATCTTAGAAGCCACCTTGGACGTTCTGAAGCCATCGGAGACTCTCTGAGGGCCCGTGAAATTCTCAACTGGGTTCCAGTTCGCCTTCGAAAGTGGAGTACGTGAGCCATCCCTTTCAGGACCCAAGGGGGCCGCGGGGCCTGGTAAAATGGCGAACTGGAATTCCATTCGCCCCCCTTTCCGCGACAACTTGGACCCGCCTTGGGGCGGTCTTGGGGCCTCTTGGAAGCAGATTCGAAGCTATCTTGAGAGATCTTGGGCTATCTTGGGCATTCTTGGAGGAGGCCATCTTGGACTCCTGCACGCTCCCAGGCCACCTTGGGCACCTTGAGGGCCCCGAGAAATTCGCACTCAAAACGGATTAAACAATTTTATTTGCGGGCGTCGCGGGCCCCACTTGTCGGCGTCTAGGAGATGTTCGGCGGCCGCGGAACCCCGGGGCAACGACGAACTGGCTTCCAGGTCGCCACTGTGCCGTAGCCTCTTGGAGCCGCCTTGGGGCGGTTTTGGGACCTTCCTTGGGGGCATCTTGGAAGGTATCTTCAACGATCGTGGGCTACCTGGAACTTTTTTTGGAAGCCATCTTGGAAGCTCTGAGGCCACCGGAGACCATCTGAAGGTCCGAAAACTGGCGAACTGGATCCCATTTCGCCCTCCATCGCCCTCCAGCGTAGAATACGACATTAAGGGTCTTGTGGGCCCCACTTGTCGAGTTTAAGGACATGTTCGGCGGCCGCAAGGAATCGGGAAAACGGCAAAATAGATTCCAGTGTACCCCTTGTCCGTGGCATCTTGGAGCCGGGTAGGAGGACGGAGAAACAAGGGCGCGCGACATTCCTCCGACCTCTCGCAACTGACAACCCAAAATGGGGGAGGGGAGCGGGGAGGGAGGTGGGAGGAGAGGACAAGGAGGGGGAGGGGGGAGTAGGTCGGGGTGGGGGGGCGGGATGGGGGCCAGTCAGCGCCTTCACCTTGAGAGGGCACGAGATCGTTGGCCTGTCCTGTCTAGGGTCCTCTTGGGGCCCCATTCGACCTAGATTGGGGTCCTACGGCCGGACCTAGGACAGAGAACTATTCTTCAAGAGCATGAAACCCTCTGACGATGCACAATAATATCGACCAGCCACGAATCACATTAGGGTACCCTCCCCGAACCGACCTCGATCTTCTACCTCGGTCCGACCGTATCGCAATGAATTCCAGGCAACGTCTGGGCCAGAGGGACGAGCAGGTTGAACAGAAAAGGAGGAGGACAAGGCCCTCTCCCTCCTCCTCCTCCTCCTCCTCCTCCGCCTCCTCCTCTTCCTCCTCCTCCTCCTCCACCTCTGCCCCCTCCTCCGCCTCCTCCTCCTCCTCTTCCTCCTCCTCTTCCTCCTCCTCCTCCTCCTCCACCTCTGCCCCCTCCTCAGCCTCCTCCTCCTCCTCTTCCTCCTCCTCCTCCTCCCACCCACGCCCGCCCCTATCCCGAGCTTGTGGCAGGGTCATCAGCTCGTCGTTGTCGTTGTCGTCGTCGTCGTTGTCGCCGTGGTCGTCCTCGTCGTCGTCTTTCCGGGACGGCGTCACCAGCCGTAAGGCCTTCACAATAGGAGGAGGAAGAGGAGAAACAGGAGGCGGCAGGGCGATGGACAAGAAAAACAGCAGCATCAGCAGGAGCAGAAGCAACAGCACGATAGTAGGAGGAGTTTTCAACACCCACGCCTCTAGCAAGCGTTCAAACAGGGAGGACGGCGCCTCCTCTCTGAGGTTTGTGGCTGCTCACTGGGGCGGCGCTCGATGTCTTTTTGACCCTCTTCCACTTCCGCATGTGATATGAGGAAGACCAACGGGGGCGTGGTCCGGGGGGCGGTCCATCTATCAAACCACGGGACAGAATCGCCCACCCGCACAGCGGGGGAGTGATAGAAGGCGGAAGCCCCCTACATAGTACTCCCTGAGAACAGGAAGGAGAACAGGAGGCGGGAGGGCGATGGGCAAGAGAAACAGGAACACCATCAGAAGCAGGAGCAAAAAGGAGATGATACGAGGAAGACCACGGCGAATAACGGTGGGGACGAGCCGGAACGGCGCAATGAAGAGGAGCGTATCAGGCAGCAGTAGGAACGGGAAGACAAGAGGCGGCGAGCGAGGGGGGGAAATGAGAAGGAGAAGACCCTCTCAGAAGGCGGCGGGACTTTTCAAAGCCGTCGCGCCTTCAGTCTTGGAAATGTTCTGTGTCTTTGGGTGAAGGCTGAAAACTGATCAGCCTTCCCAAAAGTCAGAGCTGTCTGAGAAGGCCCGCCCCTTCTCACTTCCCCCGCGGGCTCGCCGACGAGATAAGCAGGAGCAGCAAAAGCAGCAGCTACATGAAGATGAGCAGCAGGAGGAGAAAAGCAGCACACCGTGGAGGAGCAGCAGCGAGGAGGAGGGGTACAAGGGGCGAGGGAGGACTACAGTGGTGAGGAGGGTGGGGCAGCAGAATGAGTGAGACCAAGATCATGAGCCGACGGCCGCGCGAAAGGCCAACGGAATCGACCTTCGCGTTCGTTCCCGACGCACCCACCCCAAACACAAAGATCTGCCACAGACCCCCAAGATCGCCCCAAGACGGCCCAAGAGTTCCCCAAGAGTTCCCCAAGAGGCCCGCAGGACGGCCCAAGCGGGCCTCAAGATGGCTCCAGAGCGCCCAGCGAAGGGCCCGCGACTGCTCATGCGGCTGCGCGGCTGGGGGACACGCACAGCCCGACAGCTCGACCAGGTCTCGGCCCGACGCCTGGTCACGTGGGCGCTCCGAAGAGACACCGCACGGCGGTGGTATTCGCCGTAGGCGCCTTCGATCGCAGGATCTCCTGTCGTATATGGAGGAGGAGGAGGAGGAGGAGGAGGAGGAGGAGGAGGGAGGAGGAGGAGGAGGAGGAGGAGGAGGAGGAGGAGGAGGAGGAGGAGGAGGAGGACGAGGAGGAGGAGGAGGAGGAGGAGGGAGGAGGAGGAGTCGAGCCGAGTGGGGGGGGGGGGGGCCGGCCTGCCCAGCCGGCTCCACCGCCGCGAGCTCCAGCTCGGGGGGCTGGTTCGTTGTCACCGCCACGCACCGGTCGGGCGACTTGCGCGCGCGCGCGGCCGCGCGGCCGCGCGCCGGTCGACGGGCTGCTGCTCCTCCTCCTCCTCCTCCTCCTCCTCCTCTGCGGGAGGTTCACGTCGCGATGATGCGGACGTTGGTCACTGACACCGGTTGGGTCGTTCGAGCTTGAACGGACGCGGCTTTCCGACAGCGCAGATCTGTCGATGTTGGCCGATTCTGGGCCACTGGTGGCGCTCCACCCGCGCTGGGGTCGCCGCCGCGCCAACGCGGCGCGAACCTGCCGTAGAGGCCTACCACATGGAGTTCGACCGAGAACAGCTCGCGGGGAGAACGCGGTCCCCGCGGGAAGCAGTCGAGAGCTGCGCGGGCCCAAGCCGCCAAGAAGAATTATGACGCCGAGGCCTGTGCCCTCCCCTCCTCCTCCTCCTCCTCCTCCTCCTCCTCCTCCTCCCCTCCTCCTCCTCCTCCTCCTCCTCCTCCTCCTCCTCCTCCTCTCCTCCTCCTCCTCCTCCTCCTCCTCCTCCGCCTCATCTCCTCCTCCTCCGCCTCCTCCTCCTCCTCCTCCTCCTCTTCCTCCTCCTCCTCCTCCTCCAAGGTCTACCCCCTCTGGCCTCTGCAGCTGCATCTCCGAGGGCATCTGGAGACGCGTCGGTCGTTCCTGGACTCGGCGTCGCCAGAGCCTCCTGGGACTGAATCCTCCTGCAGGGCATGTTGGACTTTTATGCCACGGAGCTCCCGGTGGGGGACGGGGATTGTCGTGCCGCTTGGGCCCTGGACTTCGCGAAGAGACAGAGCCGAAGAAAGCCTGATCCCGGGGGCCGGGTCCGAGGCCCCCCGCCCTCCAGCCCTGGAGGTGGCCCCTGGTTCCCGGTTCCCGGGCCCTCCAGGAGCCCGTGGCTGACCCCACGGGAAGCCTGCGTCGCTGCGGTCAGTGGAGCCTCCCCTTCTTTCGCCCCCGCCTCCCCTCCGCCTACCTCGCCTATCCCTCGCCCCGCCTCGACCGAGGCCCAGCGATGCAGGATCCACATGAATACATGAGAAGTCCGGCACAGGAAGCACCTGCGAGTGGCCCCGTGGGCCGCGAGCCGCCTCAATCTGCAACTGGATTGGGGCCGCGGCTCCACCATCATCCAGGCTAGGCCCCCAAGTGGCCCAGCGATAGGTAACAGCAGTCCTGTGGACAGACGCTGAGATCGCGCGCTCGCCTTAGAAGTAATTCGCATGACTTATGATCCTGAAGCTTGTAATTTGCAACAACTTCACGGATGGAGTGCAGCTCTTTTCCAACATGTGGCTCTCGCCTAAGCGCCGCGCGCATTCGTCTCAAAAGTTCGCAAAACCTTCTCGGATGGAGGGCGGGTGGTTCTCTAAGTGTGGGTCTCGCCAGAACGATGCTCAACATCGCCTTACAATATTGCAGGAGCTTCACAGATGGAGGGCTGGTCAGTTTCAAAATGTGGCTTTCACCTCAGCGCCGCGCACATTCGTCGTGAACTCTTGCAAGAGCTTCACGGATGGAGGGCCGCTCATTTTCAAAACGTGGCTCTCGCCTGAGCGTCGCTCACATTCGTTTTGAAAGGTAGCGACAGTTCGGCGAATGGGACATGGCTCTTTTCAAAAATGCTGCCGTTTCCGGATCACCACGCACATTCGTCTTGAAAGCTTGCAAGATTGTTTTGCAAATGGCCAGCGGGCGGTTTTCACATGTGGCTCTTGCCTGAACACCGCCACAATTCGTCTTGAAGTTTGCAGGAACTTCACGGATGGAAGGGGCTCTCGCCCTCGCGCCGCGCATGTTCGTCTTAAACGTTTGCCAGAGTTTCACCGATGAAGAGCGGTGGCTTTCAAAATGAAGCTCTCGCCCAAGCGCCGTTTACATTCGTCTTAAACGCTTGCAACAGTTTCACGGATGGAGAACGGCTCTTTTGCAAAATGTGGCTCTCGCCTGAGAGTCGCAGGCATCCTTTGTACAAATTCTCTACAATTTGACGGATTATGATGTTTGGCCGTCCCAGGAATGATGTTCCGGCGCGATTCAGGGCTGTCAGGGCGCAACAGTCACCTTGATTCACCGTGTTGACGTCCCAGGGACGGCGTTCTGGCGCGATTGAGGATCGTCAGGACGCAACGCTACAATGTATTGGCGGGGTTGAAATCCAAGGAGTGGTGTGTTGGCTATCAGACGGTTGTTCTCCAACGGCTCCAGAAGTGAACATAAATATTCGTAGGGTCCAATGAAGAGGGAACGCGGAGGGAGGGTTGATTGCAACATCGTTGATGTGTCTTCGGTGTACACTGGTCATCACTCCCCTTTATTCTTCTCCAACCCATCCACTCAGAGAGACCAGCGAAGAACAGTAATCGAATTCCTGTGCACTTACCGAATGTCACCGAGAAACGGCGACGTAACTCGCCCAACACAAACCCACCCCGCAAACAAACTGCAAAATAACGAAAAACGTCAGTGAGCCTATCCGAAAAAAAACAGCGACGACGACACGCCAAACACTTACCGGACAACAGCAAACACAAACAAACGTATAGCATGTGGTGGCGTATTTTTCATGTGCGCATAAAACGACAATGTAAACCGCATGCCTCAGAGAAATTCGAAGAAAACGCGCCCACAGCCCCTTCGACTTCGCCGTGCGTGAGATAATTCCACGATTGCAATCTGCAGAATTCGATGTTTCGTGACAACTGTTGCGAATCAGCGGTTGCGCACTTGATTCCAAGGTATAGAATGCTTACTTCGCTTATCAATTCCCTTGAAATACGAGCTACGCAACGCGTCTCTGACGGGAGAGCCTTCTCAAGTCCATTGAAAACCACGCCGCGCAACGCGACTCTCGAAAGAGAAATTTAGCAATTTCCTTAAAGGGCGTGCCACGCGACGCGACGCGCGTCTCAATATATATATATATATATACATATAGACATATATATATATGTATATATACGTATATGTATATATCTTTATTTGTATTCAATCTCTCGAGGGCGCGCTGCGCAGGAAACGATTCTCAGCTTTCTCAGTGGACCCACGGCGCGACGCACCTCTCGAGGCAGAGAATTCGGAGCTCTCTTGAACCTTTCTGAAGGCCGCTATTTTGTTTCAGCTCGGTGGCGCCTCCCATAAGGCCACGCGCCCCAAGAAGGCCCGCGAGCAAGCCGCGGTCCGCATCGCGCGCCCCAAAGAACGCCGAGGAACCCCGGAGAAAAAAACGGCGACGAAAAATCCTGCGAAGACTCGAGACAACGGGAAACGGCGACGCCGGACCTCGGGGGGTTACCCACTCGAGTCTCCGTTGACTGGGGTGATCACTGGTCTTCCTCCTCTTTCTCCTCCTTCTTCCTCTCCCTCTCCGAGAGGCCTCCCAAACGGGGTCCGAGTAGATGGGGTCGGAAGACCGCGCCGCATCGTCGATGCATCGCCCATTCATCGGCAACTTCCGCATTGCACCGGCGACCTCAGCGTGGCGAAAATGGGGCCCATCATCCAACCGCATTGCCGATGCATCGGCGATGCGGCGCGACCCTCCGACCCCACCTTCTCGGGCCCCACTAGGGAAGCCTGGAACCCCCCTCCATCCTATACCATCCTTCTCCCCTGCCATTGCCCCCCCCCCCCCCCACGGTCGAGCTTCTGTGAGGTCTCCCCCCCTTTGGGGGGCATGCGGGAGGCTCCTCGTGGTGGCCACGTACGTCGTGGAAAAAAGCGCGAAGGTGTTTTTCTGTTGCAACGTCCAGCCTCTGGTGGCACTTGCCAGGCCCCGGGGCCATCAACAGCACGACTCGGGACGAGAAGCCGGCCGCGGGGGGCAGGGGTCCTTGGCCGCGGCGAACTAGGAGCTAGGAGCTTTCGCGCCCTCGACCCGCCGATCCCCCCGTCATCGTCGTCTGGCGTCGTCGTTTAGGCGTCGCGCCCCTTCTGGTCTCAGCCCACCTTCGGGACTCCCTCCTCCCTCCTCCCTCCAGGGGGGGGGCAGGACGGGGAAGGGGCATGGGCCTCCAGAGGTCCGCGCTGTGAAACAAGCGCGGCGTCAGGGGTCTGGGCTCGGCCCGGATCCGCCCGTGAACAGGAGCCCCAAACAGGTTGGGGAGCATGACGGCCCCTTGCGTTTTCATGTTTTTCAAGTTTCCTCTCTCTCTCTCTGTCCCTCTCTCTCTCTCCTCCTCCTCCTCCTCCTCCTCCTCCTCCTCCTCCTCCTCCTCCTCTTCCTTCTCCTCCTCCTCGTCCTCCTCCTCCTCCTCCTCCTCCTCCTGTGAACACCCTCAGAAAGAAAAAAAAACTTGATACAGTTCTTGACCCGAGCCCCCCACTCCTTACCGCCCCAGAAATTCGTCGTTCGAATGAGCAAGAGGATAAGTAATCTGCTATTGTAGGGGAGGAGGCGCAGCAGGATGAGGATGAGGAGGAGGGGAGAAGGAGGATGATATGAGATAGGAGGGGTATTTTGAGGAGGTCGTTAAGGATTATTTTATCTTCTCGCTCCTGCTACCCACTCATTTTCCTGGTCCTCTTCCTCCTCCTGCTCATCTTACTTCTCATCTTCCTCATCGTCATCGTCCTCATCCTCCTCATTCTAGCGCTCATACCCTTTCCAAGTCATGCTCCTCCTACCGTTTCTGTAGAAGAGACAGAGGAGGTGGAGCGATAGGAGGAGGGACATTGGCATGAGGAAGAAGAGAATGGGCAGAGGAGGCGAATGAGGTGCAGGAGGAGGCGGAGGAGGAGAAGGAGGCGAAGAAAGGTGGTGGATGACAAGGAGGCGTGATAGGAAGGCAGGAGAAGCATGATGAACATGAGGAGGAGGACGAGGAGGGGCAGGAAGAGTAGGAGAAGGAGGAGGGGGAGAATGAATAAGAGAATCAGGCGACAATTGATAGGATGGGGAAAGGGAATAGGAGGAGGATGGTGGGGAGGAAGATCCGAATGTTGGAAAGTGGCTATTCCTCATCCTCCTCTTCATCACCACACTGCTTCAATCCCGCATATTCCTCCTTCAAGCACTCCTCCT